ACAACACTGTGGTTTCATCATCATCTAATGCGGTGTGCGGTGCAGCATAAGCTTTAATGTGATTGGTTGGTTGAAGGCCGACTTGGCCAGTACCTTTCTCCTTCTTGCAGATAATTTGTACTTATTTTTTGATGATTTCTTCACTTTAATTGTTTTGCGCCATGTTGTGTGGACTAATAAACTAAAAACAAAAAACTTTGGTTTGGTTTGGATATTTTAATATAACGATCATCCAAAAATGTTTCTTATTTTTAAAATAAAGATGTTAATTAATTGGGTAGGAAGCAATTGGAAAACTAAAAAGTGCTTGGTAATTGGTAATTTATTTAAGAAAAAAGTGCTTGCAAGCACTTTTTAAGTAATTGGTGCTTGGTAATTGAATTTTTCAATTACTTTTCTCGGTAATTGGTAATTGCAAGCACTTATAGTTTTCAAAGTGCTTGATGCTTGATTACTTTTCCAAAGGGCTTGGTGCTTGGTGCTCGAAGAACTTTTTTTGAGTGCTTTGCCCAGCTCTGGAGCGGAATATGCAATTTCAAACGTGTTTCAGACTATACTTTTTCTACGCTTATAAAAAATACCAGAGAAATAATTTAATTGGAAAAAAGTTAGGTTATCTTTTGACAGATGTTAGATTTTATGATGGTAGTAAATAAGATAATTTTTAAATAAGCTTATAAAAATTACTTACATAATTTTGCAGAACCTAAATTAGGAAGTATAAAGAAGTAATACACTTTTTTTATTCTTTATTATTTACATGTATTGTAATATAATCAATAGTACAGTTTTGAAAGGTTAAATTTGGGGCAATATTTAAGTTTTCTTTATTTACTAAGGAATTTAAATTCAAAGCTGTTTCAATTTCAGTAATATGAGACATTAGTTTATTAGACACATCTAATCTACTGGATAAAGAATTGTCAATATAACCTTCCGCCACTTCGGTTGATTTCCAACCTCCATGCCTTTTTAAGGTAGTAATGTCACCACCAGCATCAATTAACATTGTCGCAGATGTCCTTCTAAAACAGTGGCCAGTGTATAATTCAGGATTGGGAAGTACTAAAAATTTTGACACTTCCTTAGGCATACCACCCAGTTTGTTAATTCCCATAACTTGCTTTGTCCATTTGCCTTTTTGGAAATTTAAAAAGAAATTTTCTGACACAACATTTTGGGGCCGAAGGTCAGCATATTTTTTTAGTATTTGGCAAAAATTTCCAGTTATTGTAAACTTGTTTGTTTTTGTGTCTGGTAGAGTTATGATAATTGCTAAATATTCCAAATCTTGAATTTTCATCTGGTTCAATTCATTTTTTCTACAGGCACCCATGATTCCCACAATTAAAGCAGCCTAAAAATTATGATAATAAATAGGACATGGTCTAAGATTATATTTGTTGTTTTTACCTTGTTCCAAGATATAGAATATCAGGTGCTTCAAGTATAAATTTATTTACTTCCTCAGCTGTCAATGTTTTCGACTTTTTTGCTAAATGACCAGTAGATTTTTTCTTCAAAAAGGCACGTAATTTTGCATAATTTGACAAATTAACTTCATGCTTTATATTGATTGTTGTTCGAAGAATGGAATAGGTCTTCCACAATGCTGATGATTTTTTTGTGTCACTCAATTCAGTAAAATATGCCAATATAACATTCTCAGAAAGAGAAGTCGTATTTTTACTTTTACGCCAGTCCATAAATTGTTTATAAATTTGCAGATAAACTTCTTTGGACTTCGCAGGTAGTAAATCTAGCGTTGTTTGATTGGCCTTTTCAGTTAGTTCTGGAGGAGTGTTTTCAAACGTTTCTTCTTCATCAGTTGACATGGATATATTATTTAACGACGATATATTATTCAGAGATAAATATAGACAAATTTTAAGTAAATAAATGGACAAATTGTAAGGAATGACAAATAAGTTATTATTTGAATTTCAAATTTTAAATTAACTAATGACAGACGTAAACAATTAACCAGTGCTGCCATCTCTTTGGGACTAAGTTAAACCTAAATATTCTAATAGAATCCTACTAAATCGGCCAAACAGAATTACAACTAGTTTGTAAAGAAGATATATTTTAGGTATTTTTATTAACGCAAACTGTTTTAAATCCTATTGTATACTAGTAGTAGAAAAAATTAATCGGTAGTATTATACTAAGTATAATACTACCGATTAATTTTTTCTACCGGGCCTACCAAATCTATAGATTTGGTAGGAATACAAGTGAGTTATAAAATAAACATAGAGATGTCGCCCCCAGTGCTCATTCCATCATTAGAACATGTGCAGAATAATTATTCTGTAACACTTTATGGAATATACGTAATTCCAGATTAAAAAGTCATATAAGAACTGTCAAATTCCGTAATAAGCGTAGAAAACCATATTTCTCTAGTTCTGTATAACAAACATTATTATTAGCACAACAGAAACATTCGTCCACAATTTTATTGAATGTATTCAACGCAGCGACATATTGTAGTACGTAAATATGATTACTTTTAATAGTGTTTAATGATAGAAGATCATTTCCATGTTTCAATAAAGTTTTGCAAGCATTGCCCTTAAAAATCTCACTCTGGACATTTTTGGAAACAAGGTTTAATTTTTAGGTCAATCTACCGCAGTTTTTCGTCCAAAAAACGCTACTAAACCTTTCCAAATTAAATGGATGATAAAGCCTTGGAGCAGATAAAGCTCGGGAATTAAACATTTCTCTAGTACCTTTACATCATCAAATTTAGTAAACAATGGTTCGTTAATTGTACTGAAACAGTTTTTAGCATACTTGGGATCATTATTAAACAAATTTAACTGATTTTCTCTTAAAAGACCGTGCTGAAAGTTATTATTACCAGATATAAATTCTTGTAAAAAAATAAAGCAATATGGGCAGGGGAAAGATGCGGTTGCAGTTTGCAAGCCATTCATTATTAAGTTAGCTTTTAGGTAAGAAACAAATTTAAAATAGATATTTTTAAGATTAGTTAAGCTGAACAGTAATGCAATATTCTGGTATGTTTCTTTTATATCAGGAACCATACACAAGATAATTAACTTCCCAACAACTGTTAGCTTAGCCTTCTTTATAAGGGACCCCACTTGATTGAAATATAGGAACATTAAACACTGATAAAAGTAATCATATTTACATACTATAATTATATATGTCGATGCAATTAATGCATTCAATAAAATTGTGGACAAATGTTTCTCTTCTGCTAATTATATTGTTTGTTATGCAGAACTAGAGAAAGATATAGGGTATTTGGGAAAGAGTTGCTGAGCCATTTTAAGTGGTCTTTTTTCTTTTCCTGCTTTTGTCTTTTTTCAGTCCATTTAAGAATTTTATTCGTAAGTGTCCTTTCGATTTTCTAAAAATGTATAATAGAAATTTAAAATATATTTTTAGAGAAAAAGGAAATCTACGGTTACGTATTATCTTCAATGGTGTTGATTTTTTATTTTTTAAATCTCGAGAACAATATTTAGTCCATTTATAAGGCCCAGCTACATCTAATAAAAAATATTAATTAACTATACCACAAAACTGTAAATCTCGAACCGTAGACCGCCACTGTACATACCATCATTTTGAAAAATATCCTCATCAATAAAGATTGGTTGAAATAAATCAATATTTCCCGCAGAAGGCTCCTACGAATATGATTTATGTTGATGGTTTCTTGGTCATATTCCATTGTTGAAGATTGAGTCTAAGCATTTGCTTCTTCCACATTAAAAAAAAATTTTTATATGGCATAACATTGTATGACTTACGTATATCAGGACCATAATATTGCCAGTAATCTGCTTTCCAACTATTTCTTTCATGATCAAGTCCACATCAGGTATACGTTTGCAATTTGCATATTTATTTTTTATAACATCGACTGTTAAATATTTTGGTTACTACTTCTTCCCATGTTTTTTTAGCGTTTATTTAAATCTGTGTCGGTTTTTTTGCATTCTAAAATTTTCTTATATTTTTCAATGCAATAGCCGATTTTTGTTTAATTTGTGGCCTTAATGTAATTATAAATAAATAAAACTTTTTTACTACATTTTGTTTTATGGGACAAGCCAGGATATTGAAAAGTATTTTCGACCAGAAAATAATTTTTTATCTAAATAATTTCCTGACTGGAAACAGATTAGATTAACAGTTTAGAATATAAATTAATCGGTTTTGTATTACATTTTTCGTGGGATAGTCTGAGCCGCCAAAATTTCCCTTGTTTGTAGAACTAGCCAGATATCTTATAGGGATTTTATACAGGGTGTTTACGGTCTTGTGATTTTATTTTTAAGGGGTTATTAAACATAGTAAAAGAAGGATAGTAATGGTAAAATGTCCTAGAAAAAGTTAAATAACAAGGGAGATATAATTGCTATTATTTTTTTAAATGATGAACACCGCTTTAAACTATTTGTTTGATGTTATCGCCCTGCAGTTGAACGCAAAGTCTCGTTAAATGTAAACCTAAAATAACCTAAAATAAACTTTAAAGTTAAAACTTTTAACACGTAGAGTGGCAATTAAAATCCATGTTTGCGGTATCTTCTGGCCAAAATCTGTCTAAGTGTTTTCTTGTTTATCTACAGATTTTTTTACAATTATCGTTACTCAATAGTAACATGCCCAATTTCGTCTATTTTTTATTACAAACAAGGTTAAGCCGGAATGCTCCCAAAATTAAAGCAGAATGGGGAATAGGGTTGAAAGTTATTAAAGTTTATTAAATTTATCCATATTTTTCTTTCTGAAAATTTTTGCTGGTTCCTAATATATAAATTTGATAGATGTTACTACTTTAAAATTTATAATAATCTCCCATCGAGCATAATGTCAATGTTGTCATTGTTGGGTGCACTTCTCCATGACAATAACAACAGAAGGAAACAATTTCCGGCGCTTGCGCGCGCTATCAGTGCACGTTTGATCAATCTGCCATCGCACAGGTGAACTATGGTAGATTTACTCAATTGCGGTTCGTTTGCTTTGATTTGTGACGTGCGATTGACGTTTGTAGGGACCCCAGGTGCATTTCCGGGATGAGATGGTTCGTCTGCGTAGTGTTTTGGGGTTTTTGTGCTTGCGGTAAGGCGGAAGAAAATTTCGATTCAGCGGATGTCGAGAAGTTGGCCAGCAGTGTGTACGGAACAGGTGGGTGAAACAAAACGAATTACCTAATAATAAAACAGTTTTAACTTTATTCTTTTATGTTTATTTTTGGATACCAAAGTAGGTAATAGTTTCCTGTAATTGCATATTTTTATTTTATGTAAAATAATATACGGGGTGTTTAACAACTTATGCAAAAAAATTTAACCACATATGCTCCTTTAAATATTAATTCGATTTATTAATAAAAAAGTCCACCAGAAAACGACATAAAAAATGTTAAAGTTAAAATGATACAAGTTACAAGTTACAAGAAGTAAGAAAACTGGATATCTTAAAACTAAAAAAGTATCCCATATGCATTTTTAAGTAATAAAATAATTTATTTCTAATGAGCAATAAGCAATTACAAAAATGTTAAAAACACAATTAATTAAAAATAATTATTTTTCATTTTTGAATTTTTGTTGGGGAATAAAAATATTAATCACAATATTTTACACTTTCATACAGGGTGTTTTTGGTAAATTCTATTTTAAGGGTTAAAGCACAATCCACACAACAAGGTCTGTTCGATCTTGTACTAAAAATACTAAAAATCACTGCAACACTGCACATCATTCAATGGCAGCCATTTTTCTTGTTTACAATTCTTGTGCTTTGGGTTTGTACAGATTAATAATCGTTTTAAACGTTGTGTTTCTTACAGAGAGACTTGCAAGCCTTAAAAGAGACCTATAGGTCTGAAATTTGGCAAACATTTTTTTTTTCTATTTTAAGTAAATTTAAGGGGCGGCCCGGTTAATTTTTTTTACCCGTCATAATGACCACCCTAATATATATATATATATATATATATATATATATATATACAGGGTGTCCCGGGTTTAATGATCTTAATTTTGACAGTCGGTAGACAATGAAAAAACAAAAGGAATTCACAAGGAAAACATGTATCTAAAAATTGAAAATAACTAAGATACAGACCTTCAAAGCTTGAAAATAAAATTAGTTTTTTCGTATAACTTCTAACAGTTTGACTTAACTTTTACACATATATTTAAGAAATACTGACTCACGTACTGCCTATAAATATTCTTTTCAAGGCACTCCAGTGACGTAGATATTGGATATTGGGGGTGTAGGTTCCCTTTTTCACACCTATGTTTACGCCACTGACCTTTTTTTTTTTTAATTTTCCCTATTTTTAAATTCTGCGTTTAACTAGAAAAATAAAGTTATTTGGTAAATTTTTTATTAGACGCTTTAGAAACATCTCAAGACGCCCAAAGAGCAACAATTCTAACCAGGCCACATTAAAACTACCTCACTGTCTCAGTTTTTTTTATCGCGTTGGAACATATCAAGAATTGGAAATGCCAGTAAAATTTTTATTATAGCATATTATTGTTGTTTTTTTAAGTAAGAAGGTAGTGCGGTCTGAAAAGCTATTTTCGATAAAGACAACATGTAAAAGAAACTACTTTATTGCTTACAAAAAATCGAACATGGACATTAAAGGAGCATTCCGTGGTTTGAACGGACCGTTTGTACAAAATTATTTTTTATATATATTAATTTCAGACCACGGCATGCTTTCAAATAGTATCGTTCTTATGAAAAACTATTACAGTTAATTGAAACGGAGAATGAACGTTTCGTAAAATTTAGCTCTCTGTCACAATTATATTAAGCCTCAATTAATAAAACATAAAATTATGTAGGTACTTACTATATGTCAAATAACTGAAGTCGTTTTTCGTGATTACGCTTCAAAATGCCACTTTATTGCTTACAAAAAATCGAACATGGACATTAAAGGAGCATTCCGTGGTTTGAACGGATCGAAAATTATTTTTTGTAATTAGTGTTTGGTTTAAAAAAATAATCCAAACATTAAGTAATTAATGGTTTGCTAATTCGAATAGGGAATAGATATTTTTTAGTATTGACGTATAGAATGGTTTTTAGTACAGATTACCCTGTTTTAAAGCAATACTTTTTCTGTTTACGTCAATACTAAAAAAATATCTATTCAATTATTCGAATTAGCAAACCATAAATTACATTATGTTCGGATTACTTTTTTAAAACAATCACTATATTAATTTCAGATTAATTTTGTACAAATGGTGTCCGTTCAAACCACGGCATGCTTTCAAATAGTATCGTTCTTATGAAAAACTATTACAGTTAATTGACACGGAGAATGAACGTTTCGTAAAATTTAGCTCTCTGTCACAATTATATTAAGCCGCAATTAATAAAACATAAAATTATGTCCCTATAGGTACTTACTATATGTCAAATAACTGAAGTCGTTTTTCGTGATTACGCTTCAAAATGCCACTCATTTGCATTTATGCACGCTTGACTTCTACGTCTAACAGAACCGGTGGCATTTGAAATTTCTTGTGCTGAGAGTTCATTTGCTGCTCTTAAGATAATTTCTGCTTGGGTGCTTACAGGGGTTAAGTATACTAGATCTTTCAATCTACCCCAAAGAAAAAAATCCATAGGAGTTATATCTGGTGAACGCGGAGGCCAAGCCACTGGACCACCACATCCTATCCACCTTTGATTGTAGTTGGTATCCAGCCATTACCGTACTACTCTTCCGTAGTGAGCCGGAGCCCCGTCCAGCTGGATCCAGTGGTTTAATCTCATATTTAGTGGAAGATCATCCAACAATTCATAAAGATCATACCGTAGTAATCTCAGGAACAGTTGAGAATTCAGACGTGGTGGAAGAATATACGGCCCGATGAGGCGATTTCCAAGTAAACCACACCACACATTGACGCTAAATTCTCTTTGAAAATTTCGTTCTCTTACGGAATGGGGATTTTCGTGCGCCCATGAATGAAGATTGTGGAAATTTACCACCCCTCTTCTCGTGAATATGGCTTCGTCTGTCCACAGAAGTTTATTTTGTAAAAATCTACCTTTGTTTTCTAATATCCATCGGCAGAACTCCATTCTTCGTTCATTGTCGCCATCTTCTAATCCCTGCACTGGTTGAAAATGGTAGGGCCGCATCCTGTCGTTTCGTAAAATTCTTCATATCGAACTTCTTGGCACCGCCAGTTGTCGTGCTTGACGAAGGCTTGTGTGCGGATTATCCCTGAAATGCCTTAATGTGCGTGCATGTCTTCTTCTCTGTACACCATTTAAAGGTCTTTGCTGCTGATTACCTCGCCTTTTTGCATTTCGACCTTTTGGATTGATAATGTTATAACCATAAATGAAATGTATGTCGGCATACTCTTGATTGGAGAAAGCAAAGGGCATTTCTCAATTATTTCTGGAAAAACTACACATACAGAAAACCTTTTTTCAAGTACAAACAAACACTGTTTACTGAAATGTCATGAATTGATGCTATGGTAAAGCGATTACTTGTTACCCATTTTCAAGTAGGTATTAATTCCACTCAAACTCGAATATTTTTGTAACGAAGAGCTAATAAAAATTTACCAAAGTAACTTTCTTTTCCTAGTTGAACGCAGAATTTAAAAATTCAAAAAAATGGTCAGTGGCGTAAACATATGTCGGAAAAAAGGAACCTAAACCCTCAATTGTTATAGGCAGTACGTGAGTCAGTATTTCCTTACTATATGTTTAAAATTTGAGCCAAATCAGTCAATCGGTTTAAAAGTTATAAGAAAAAACGAATTTTAGTTTCAAACTTTGGAGGTCTGTATCTCAGTTATTTTCAATTTTTAGATACATGTTTTCCTTGGAAATTCCTTTTGTTTTGATTCTCTACCACTGGCAAAATTAAGATCATTAAACCCGGGACACCCTGTATATATTGGGGTGATTCAAAAAAACTTTTTTTGTTTTTTTTTCTCGGAACCATACTCAAAAGTGTCGTATGGATATAAAAATGAGCCTGTAAAAAAATGAGCTCTTAATTTCAAAATTAAGATGCTCCGCATCGCACTTTTTAATTTTCCATAAGAATAACAGGAAAAATTATTTTTGTTTCTTTTTATTTTTGTAACTAACGAATAAAGGTCGTACTGTAAAGTTCTTGACATATTTTTGTAGAGAACACTCTACAAAGGTTTCTTATGATTTTTTGGCGAGTATACCCGACTCATTTAAAATTTTTTGAAATAATTTTGTAGAGAATTGAACGCTCTACAAAAAAGGTAAAAAGTCATTTTTCGGTAAGTTAACTTGGTTAAAAGTTATTCAGGGTTAAAGTCAAATTTTATTTAGTGAAAGGGCCGGTATATTCACCTTCCTTTACATTTACTGGACAGATAACTGTCAAAGTTACAATTGTTGACATTTTTTAAATAAAGAACATTAAAATATAATTTGTTTTGATGACATTTTGGCGATATAATTACTTTGACGGTTTTGATAAATGCGTTTTATTTACTAACAAGGCTTGGTTATTTTTATATTTGGCAGCGTAAGAATAAAATCAATGTCTTTCTTGAATTCAGAGCCACCCTTCCTGTGCCTAGCACGAAATTGCTCTTATATTTTAAATCGAAGTTGAATAACCGCAATTTATATTATTTGAAAATTCCATTGCTTTGCTCTAATTATGATATTTTCTGTTTATAGAACTTTTTCTTCTTGAAAATGCTTATCAAGAACAGAAAAATTACAAACTCGAGGATTTTTTCTGGACTGGATCTGGAGATGGAGAAAATTACGAAGACGATGGTTGGAAAACTGAAAATCCAACTACAATTTACAAGACGAAAACCGTATTTTCAACGGTAATGATAGAAACTATACATCCAACAAATAAAGTAAATATTTCACAATTTAAATGTACAGGGTAGTGTCATAAATAAATTATATGATTTAAAGGTAATGGGTTATACAGGGTGTCCCAGAATATGGGGGAGATCTCCCGGATTTCAATAGAACACATAAAAATAATATGACAAGTTCCTATAAATTTTTTTCCTGCGACCCCCTTTATATATGGAGATACTGGCTCATAACGAACGCCCCTAGAAAGAAGAAAAAAGATCGAACATTTCAAAATGTCAACAAAAAAAATTGCAAAAAAGATAAAAATAAATGCAAAAAACTCTATTGTACAAAAACATTTTTTTTTCGTAAGCAGTACATTGTCGATCAGGAGTACTTTTTTAAGGTTTTTAAGGTTTAAGCTAACCAAAAATATTTTTGCTGTGCCTTTATAGTACAGGGTGTTAAAAAATACCATTACTGTGATAGAGCTAGTCTGTCTCAAAGTTATTTAAAAACAGACGGTTTCTAGGGGTGTCTGTTATGGGACCGTATCTCCGTATGTCCGTAAGGAGCCGTATGTAAAAAAAAATTAAGAACTTGTCATATTATTTTTGGTTTGTTTTATTCGAATCCAGGAGATTGCCCACATATTCTGGGACACCCTGTATACAAAAAAAGCTGAGTCAAAGTTTGTGAAGTGAGCATGGGGTTTTTACTATGGTAATAAAAGTACTGGGTTGCCTCATAATGTGTTAGAAAAATTGTGTCCTAACTAAAAATAATAATTACTTACGATCCATTGATTAGATTTGGATGAAAATTAAATAACGTGTAAATAAATAAATATTATTTAAGTTTAGAAAAAAATGTACCTACGTTTGAACGCTTTTGTTATGTATGGAAATCTTTAAAAACAGACAACAAAAAGCAGATATCCTACAGACTTAAAGTTTTAGAAATAGGGGTTTTATGGGTTGCTGATACCGATTTAAGGTCAATATTACAAACAAAATTAATGGCGTATTATATAAAGTATGCATACTACCAGGCCCGTTCCGGGGATGTCTGGCGCCTACGTGCAGCATTCTTTGGTGCGCCTCTTTTGTATTTAAATGTAATACATTAAATATTTTAATTCTAAGCACTTACAAAATATATATTTTGCGAGAAACTGGCAATATGTAATTGAAATTGTAAAAAAAACTGCTGAAATTTGTATCCCGGACTATATCTCAAAAACTGTTCTACCATTGATCACTCAACTTTTGACTACATTTTCGGATTCAGCGGACAATTTTACATGGGAGTTGACTGCTAGTTGTCCAAGATACAAGTTTCTGTTGACGATAATTATTAGTGGCGGCTTTTTCGCTAGCCATTTTTGACTAATTCATTTTTAGAGAGTAAACTCGTTACAAGGTAAAGCACTGTGTAGACGTGTTAAACTTTGCTGCCAACAACTGCAACTATCAAACAAATACTAAAAATATTATGAAAATTTCTCTGCTTTTATTTTGATACTCTGAGTAAGACAATAAATCTGTTATGAACGAACGCTTAAGGCAATAAACCCATTAATTTAAGAAAACGGCCCCAACAAAATAAACTTTTAACTAAACCAGACCAAATAAACAGACATAATACAAACTAAGCGAAGATGACTAACGTGCTAGGGCAACACAATAACAAAAAAATTGTTGCAGTAATAAACATAAAAAATAAAGTAATCCCAAATGTTTGAAGTAATACTAACTGCATGGTCTAGGGGGATACCGCGTCGTATTTAGATTTGAGTCGGCGTAATTGTCCCCTAAACACCCTCCCGTCCTACCTCCTTCATGACCCTACAGGGAGTATAGCATCGGCCCGAACCCGGGAATGGCTATTAAAACTATTGGCATTTCGCACTCGAGCCCTAAATAGGGGACAGTACGGGTCGCAATGGACATTCGCACCCAGCCAACACACGGGTGAAGCCGTGCCGTTGCTGGTGGCGAAAGAAAATCGGCGTAAGGAAACAGAGGCCTATGCGGAGCCAGGGAGCGATGAGGCAATGGGGCCGGTTATACGTCTCTTAAACTCATACTCAATAACAAAGCGGCAAAGGGTGCTTTATAGCGGCCGAAGAAAGAGCGGCAAAAGCCTTTAATGCGGCCGACGCAAAGAAAGACGGTAACCTTTACCTTTGTATATTTAAGTATTTGTTTATCTGCAAGAAAGTTTATCGAGTACCAATTGACCCTTTGATTTTGCGACCCCAAAATGTTGCGCACTGCACGCTCGCCAGAAACGGCACTGCATACTGTCCGTTCAGGCTAAGTTGAGCGGTCTAAGGAATGTCACCCCGTCCCACACTGGGAGGAATTTCAAAAATCGCGGACAAAACCCTATTTTGTAAAAATCAACATAGTTAATTTTAAATTACGAGTTATAAAAAAAGAAGGCACAGAGATTATGATTTTAAAAGAAATATATTTTTTCATGATAAAATTCCTGCTTAAACTTGCTTAAAAAGTTACATTGTTCGTGTCGGTTTTTTAGAGCAAATTGTATGTAAGTTTTTTAAGCCCATTTTTGTTTTGCCTAATTAATGAAAGGAAATGATGGTATATTTTACCACATTCCTTATCCTTGTTCTTTCATATAAAAGTCTAAAATTGCAAATTTTACCATAAATACGGTTTTTATAAACCTTTTACCATCGCCTTTAAAAGTAGATAAATCTTTTACAAACCACAAGATATTTCTTTAGGTGTGCCTTGGTGTGAGGCAAAGTATTTGGTACCAGAACGTTCATCAAATTTTCTTTTTTTAAAGTCAAAAGAATTAAGCTGCCTTTTTTTGCCTGTCTGGTCAGCAGAATATGAAATATGTCCATGAATTTATCATATTAGTCGAATATTTATAAGTCATCATAGTTACCTTTTGCTATTCTAAAACGTCAGTTTCCAGTGAAAGTCAATCATACATAAAATCTCATAGTGTTTTTGTGTTTATTAACGCTTTATAATAATATTTGGTAAGTTATAATATTAATATTAATATAAATATTACATGTTTATTTGAATAACTTGCTTCCTTTTATGTAGAAATGCCATCAACGACTAATAAGGAGTTGTATGAACTTATTAAAAATGTTAGTAACAAAGAAAAACACAACAAACTTTTAAAGTATCTAACCGAAAACCTAAATATTATTGATAAATCTTATATTGTCCACTGAATCCGAAAATATCGTCAAAAGATAAAAAAGTAAAACAGTTTTTGAGATATAGTCAATTTTTCATTTAATATGGAATTGACTATATTTCAAAAACTGCTCCACTTTCATAATTTTTTATGGCATTTTCGGATTCAGGGGACAATTTTACATAAGAATTAGATGTTAAATTTTGGGATACCATTATATTCCATGGTTAACCATGGTACAAGTAAAAAAGCAGCCAATAATAACTATTAAATTAGTCATTTTCGACTAATTCATTTTTAGAGAGTAGGTAAAAAACGTGGATTTAACCGGTTTTGCTTTAAAGTCAACTTTTAAATGTTATTTTAACATCGATATAGGGTTTTTTGGACCAAGTCACTTTAGTAGTCGATATAAATAAAGTAAAAGAAAGAAATTTACAAAGAAAAGATGTATCGAAAAAATGTATATAAGTGATTTTGCTCGAATATTCTTTAATTGTTATTGTTTTTTTTTGTTTTTTTTTCTATTTTTAGCTTAGGTAATATTGCGTAATATATTTGTTTATTAATTTATGTTTTTGGAAAATGGAGGATCGACAATACCGAACTTTTCCAAATTGTTTAAAACAAATTTGTGAATTTGTGTACATAATTAAAACATTTTATTAATATTAATATTTTAGCATAAATTTACCACCGCATAAACCTTAAAATGGCTTAAAATAATGTGTCCCTAATTTTGTCCGCGATTTTTGAAATTCCTCCCACTGTGCGTCCATCATCTCTATGTTCAGGCACAATTAAATACATGTATTTCGGTAGCCGCTCTATACGAACAATCGGCAAGCCGCGGCACTGATAAATCATATTCTTGTTACCGAAATCTCGCGACGATTCGATGTTTAATTTAATTAACGGCCACATGATCCCCCACCAAAGCGCTCAACTTAGCCTGAACGGACTGTACTACCATGGTAGTAGAACGCAGTAAATGTTTATTTTTGATTATTCTATTAGTCTTGAAATTATAGATTAGATATTATAGATATTAGAAATAAAGTTTTATAAACCCTCGTTTTTTATAAACACTCGCTCGCAAGCTTTGCTCGTGCCTAATTAAACTCGTAACTAAAAAAGTTTATAAACGAGTTACATACTATACTTTATCTACGACGAAAACAAAACACAGTTTAAAACCAATTAAAGACACCTGTCAACTGTCTCCCGGATTGAACCTCAATTTTTCCCAATTTATAATAAAGCTACCTTTAGCCTGTGACTAAATAGCCCAAAAGCAACTGTTGCTAACTTCAGCCCGTGACTAAAACGCCAAGTGACAGCTCGTTAATAGAGGAGTAAATAAAATAAATAAAATATATGTAGAATAAAGAATATATTAATAATAATGTAAATATAACATAATTTCTTTAAAAAAAAATTATACAAAAAGCCAGAACAAAATTTCATCACTAACTGTTTGCCAGAGGGGAAAACACGTACCAATTTTAGTCAATATAAAAAGAGTTCTTAGAAAAACTATCATATTGCATGCGCCATTTCGTTTCTTGTAAAATCTTTATCGTCTTAAAACTCCATATAAATTTTGCCCAGAATAACATCTTCCTCTTTTGTCTATTTTTTAGCGATTTCCGTTCATCACAAAAACGTTTAATTTTAATTTTTTTTCTGTACCCAACGTTAATCCAGAGTTTGGTATTATTTGCAATTATTGTTAGTTTCAGCAAGATTAAAAAACGCGATCCGTATCAAAGCGGGTCGTTCAACGCGTTGCCGAACTAAAAAAAAATAATGTTAAATAACCATCACAATTTTTTTTCAAATCCTTCTTCTGAAAGGAATTTTTTTTATATTTTTGAAAAAAAATTGAGATAATGTGTGTACAACAAAGTTGCATGTACATTTGTTTATTTTTTTTTTTTAATAAAAAGGCAATAATACAACATTTTTGATTTTTTATAAGTTTGCTGCAAATAACATGCAATTTTTACCCAAATCCAATTAATCGTACGAAAGTAATTATTTTTTTTATAGAACAACATTTTTATAAAATATCATGTATAAATACGAATGAATTTTTAATAAAATATTTGTGGAATATTATGTTACCCATTACTTAATGTAAAATACGTTTTTACTAAATTTTATTACCATGGTGAAAAGATCACTTCACAAATTTTGACTGTGTTTTTGTTATGTTTATTTTAACTTTTTTTGAGTTCTATTGATAAAAATTTTGAAGGGGTGATTCTACAGCGCAAGATATAAAAAAGATCCTAAGAAAATGCTTAGTAAGGGAACTACGAAGATGACATACAACTTCATAACGCAGAATCAAAATTTTTTAGAGCTAGCTTTCTTAAAAACGGTTAATCGTTTAGACCTTTTAAACAAAAAAAAACCTTTTTTTTTTGTGTAAGATTATATAAAAACTTATGAAAAGAAACTGAAATACCCAATAACGTAACTCCAAAAATAAAATGGGTCGTGATGACCCCCTGTTTGGGACTTCCCTAATCATATGTCAATATCGGGTCTGCAACAGAAAAGTTGCATGTGCCAAAATTTATTTAAAAGTAAATTTTTGACCAAATGTTCTTGGAAACTGTTTTCACTTTTACGCTGTATAACCCCCTTTAAAGATATTAAATGGAATTTGAAGAAAACTTTAGTATAATTATAAAAATTAGTCTCATTATTGATTATAAAAATAATTCATTACTTTTTAAATCATTCTCTACATTAACTCTGATCTAAAACGCTTACAATTTTGAATACTACATAATTTTCAGAGCATTCCAAATTGTATTATCGACTGTACCACAATCGGTCCAGGAGAAAATATAAAACCCACACGAACTCTTCCACCAGATGAAGATTTTTCTGATGCGGATCGTCAGTTTTGGCTGCTTACTGTATTAAAGAGCGATGGAAAAGATCCAGTTATGATAGATCTTAAAAACAGCCTAGCCAAGCTGTATAAAACTGCATTTCAAAGGTAACATATTTTCGTTAATGTAAAACCGCTAAATTGTATAGGATGTTAAAAATATTATATTTTATTAACTCTCCTGTAATCTCCTGGCAATCCTAAAATTATAGATGCAATACTTTAACTGCTCATCCTAGAATTTATCATAATTAATTTTTTATTTTAGACAGCAAGATTACCACCTTGGTATTAACCACAGAACCAAAAGGGAGTCAGCAAATAAACCTGTTAAAGTGTACATTCATAATGTTGATAAAACAAAATTAAATGGAGATGAAAAAATAACAGTTCTTTATCATGTATCAGTGGATGGTAAGCCAGTTCCTGCAGTTACTGCAGCTGATGATATGGCCTTGGTAACTGACGAGGAGGTTAGAAGACAATTGGGTTACCCCTTTTTAATAAAGGCAGAACGTAAGCTAATACAAAGTGGGCGTGATAAAAAGCTATTAAGAGAGACTTAAAAAAAAGTTTTGTTCAACATATTTTTTTATAAATTCCGAGGTATTCAAAAAAATACCCTTTCGCTCTCATATTTACTTTAATGTATTGTCTTTTTATCGTTTTTGCAGTCTTTTCTTATCGTGTCCACCCTGCATAATATGTCGAAAAAATAAACTTTTTTTAGTTTAAAATTAAATAACATTTTGCATCGATATGAATATTTTTTTTTCATATTGTAGATTCTTTCATCTTGATCCAAAAATTTACAATATACGACATTTGGACCATGTACAATTATTATTTTCTTACGTAGTTATGATAAATACTACCCGCGGAGAAAAGTAAAATCTCGTTATCTCATTGGACAGTAACCAGTCGAGAGGTCAATTTTCTTCATAGTTTAAGACTGATGCACTTTCTTAATTGGAAACGTATAGGAAACGTACTAATTCCCTAATATGATTAGAACAAATATTTTTTAGTGTAAAAATTTCCTCAAAAATTTTGCAGAATATAAAACCAATTTTAAAAAGTCCATATTTAATTACTAAAAAGTAGTGTTTTTTTAAGGTTGTGCAATGTGCATACGCCTTGTTTATTTTATTTCCTTACCAACTGTTTTAAGATGTGTGATACGACTATGGAAAACATAGCGTTTCCAAGTTTTAAAAAAATTAATACTCAACCCTGACTTAAAAACTGCTTGTCGAAATATATTTTTATACTTTAAATATTCATCCCTTCATGTATACAGAATGGCGTAGCATAACCGCACCATTTTGAGGATACCCTGTATATCCAGGGTGTTAACAAAAGGTTCTTGAAAAATTTTCCTCGTACTATGTGTACATAGCATTTTTATTTTAAGAATTTTTATTTAAAGAATTGCTGAACTCCAAGGTAAGCAAAAGCCCCTTTAAAGTCTGTCCACGAAAATGTTTTTTTTTTAATATTTTCGTAACTTTAGATGATAAGAGAGTAAAATTTGGTATTATTAATACCTACAATTTTATGCAAAACTTACTGTAAATAAAATAACGGTAAAATTTTGGTTAGGCGTCGAAAACAGGGTGAGACGAGGAAAAATTGTATTCCAACTTTTTGTGTATTAAATTTTTGCCATTTTGAACCAATTGGTTCACATTGTTAATTTAAAAGTTTTTTTTTGTGAAAAAGGTCAGCTTGTCTTAACCCCATAGATGCATAGTTTATCACCTTGCACAGATCTAGAAACTATATATATTTTTTCAATTTTGAACACCCCAGGTCCAAAATAAAGCGGAGGCAGTCCCAAGTCTTTATGAACTTTATTCCTTAATTATCCAAGGATTAAGCCCATTCGAATGCATACAGTATTAGCTACTAATTAAGAAACACTTTGTATATATAATATAAAGATGCTTCAAAGAGGCTTACATAGGATTCATTTCTTGCACTAGAATGTAATTGAGTTACAATACAAAGCAATTGAATGCATTGTAAACTCGAGGGGTCACCCACAGCTGGGAATCCCTGGACATTTTAGAGGAGGAATACCATAGGAATACATATATGTATTCCTATGGTATACAATAAAATATAATGGGAATACATGGGAATCCCTGGACGTTTTCCCTTTGGTTGGTTGGCCGCTCGTGTTAACTTATTAACCTGGCGCATATTTACTACATGTGCATCAATTATAAAACTAACTTTTTTCTAAGCGATAATGGAGACAAAGTAGCTAGTACTATAAGCGTTAAAATAATGTGTAACATTTTCCATCTATTTTCCATAAAAATCCAATTTAATTATTTTAATTTTTTACTTATATAGTCATACTTGCTCAGGCCATATACAGTGAGCACGTTAAACCCCCCCTGTTAACTTTTGAACCAAAAAAGATATCGATGTCGGACAAAGACCAGGGTAAACAATATTGTGTTTACTACTTTTTTACGTCGGTATGAAATTTTTTTGGCGAACAAGTGCCAAGAGGGCAGAATCAACTTGAAAATTTCAAATGGAAAGGGCGTGCTTGTGATACCTCATTTAAAAGGTATTTTAATCTCTATTTAACACTTTTTTGTTTTTAAAATCCGTTTAACCATAGCTTAGTTATTAACCGTTTTTGTCGCTTCTACTCACATTTTCGCAGAGTGCGAATTATTGCAAACTAGAGGTGGCAAGTTTGATTCCGATTCGTTCAAAAAGAACGAATCATTTAAATGAATCGAATGAATCGAACACAGTTTGTAAAAGAATTAATTCTTTTTTGAATCACTTTGAGAGAATTGAAAAGTGAATCAAACCATAGAATGAATATGGACTCAATTTGGTCACAAATGTGAAAATTTAGCAGCTAAATTCGGATCACACTGCGTCCTTGGGCAAAATTTCGGTCTTTTGGAAATCTGGTGATATTTCTAGGGATATTTTATGGAATATTCTGTCAAATATTAGATAATAATATTAGATATTAGTAGATGTTAATGTTAATTATTGCACAGAATAATTTACACGTAAGTAAAATAAAAATCGAATCGAATAATTCAATAATACCTACAAAGTCGATTCAAGAATCAATGAATCATTGATTGAATCGGAGTAGAAAAAAATAACATACAGGGACGGTATGGGAAAATATAGGCTTTCTTAAAAAAAACAATTATTACTAACGGTTTATTAAAAAAAATGAAAAAACAACGAAAAAATAATATTTCTTTGGCATAATAAAATAAAATATAAACTCTGGCATAATATTTAAAACTAAGAAAACATATTCAAAAATAATAAAAAAATAAACTATTTAATGTAAAAATGTATGATTAGCATTAATAAATAATAATTTTCGAACTTTGTTCGCGCTTAATCTAGTTCTCTTTTCGCTAATAAATAATCCGGCACGTGAAAAAGCTCTTTCACAGGGAACAGAGGTAGCAGGAATACACTTTTTTTCATTATCCTAAAAAGACGAGGATATATTTGTTTTCTATCTTTCCACCAAATTAATGGATTTTCACATCTTTTAATTATAGGCTATCTCTATAATTCCTGCAGCTGTAGCATTTTCGTTTTCAAAGACAAATGACGTTTTTTTGTCGTCGTCTTTCCAGATTGACATTGTTTCATTTTCATGATCAACTGTGGAACCGTCACCTTTACTTTCGTTATCTGTGTTATTCGCTTTAGCATTTTCTTCTAAAACAATTTGGCTTGCTGCATTTGTCACCGCTGTCTGTGCCTTTTTAAATGCTTTTGTATCCGTAAATCCAAGATTATCTTGAATATTTAAAAATCGTTTATTAAGCTGCTCTATCATCTTTATAATCATATTTTTGATTTCCTTGGGAATGTCAGGGTCATCCTGTAAGGCACTGCAGTGATGTAAAAGTGCCCTACTTAAATAAATCATCTTGGAAATAGTCACATTTTTTCGGCACTTACATCAACTGTCACCTCTTGAAAAACTTTTAGTGCTCGACAAGAATGTTCTATTATTTTCCAACCAGAAGCTGTCAACGTAAATTTTTCAAAGTTGACTATTGCCAAGGTTCCTTAATTTTAAGCACCCTTTCCAACATTTCACTAGTTGAATTCCATCTTATGGGCATGTCTTGTTTTAGGTTTAGTTGTTGGTAGCCCATTTGCTCTTCGACTGCTCTTAGTTTTTCTGCAGATTGCGGACTTCTTTTAAAAAATTCAACTATTCCTTTTACTTTAACATGCGTATCATGTATTTCTTTAAGACCAGCTTGTACAACTAAATTAATAGAATGGGCAAAACATGGTAAATGTTTCCACCCACCTAATCGCGCACTGGCATTCATATTAGCAGCATTGTATGTCACTAAAGCTACTATTTTTTCATAAACTCCCCATTCCATTAATACCCTTTTTGTTTCTGCTGCCAAGTTTTCAGCAGTATGCCTTTCATTATATTTAAAGCAATCTAATAAAAATGTTCGCAGCTCACAATTTTCATTTATGAAGTGTACTGTTAATGCCAAATAACAGTCATTACTCAATGAGGTCCATCCGTCGGTTGTAATGGCTACCGCAGTTGCTGATAATAATTTCTCCTTTACAATATTAGCCAGTATGTTGTAAACTTAAATTAGTAAACAGTTTGAAGCGGTTTTGCGAGAAGGCAAAATAGTCTAAGATCCCAAGTAAGGTCGACCTTCACCCATCTGCTTACCAGATGAAAATTATATTTTATCAAATAAAATATGTTTCTGAACATAAACCAATAGGGTTGCCATAAAAAATATGATCAAGGCTAGCTATAATAAATAAAAAATTAAAAAAAAATAATTAATTTTTTAAATTTCACCGACTTGCTTGCCAAATGAACGAAATTCCAATGGAAAGCATACAACATACAGAATATGTAACAGCTAGGTTGCCTACCTTTTTCTGGTCCCTATTACCTGGTTGCTTTGTACAGGGTGATCCCCTATAATGTCGCCCCCCTTTAACTTTTTTATTTTAAGTGTCCCAAAAAATTTAAAAAAGTGGTTATGTAGGAACTAAAAAATACTTTTTTTCTACGTATAAAGAAAATTGGAAAATTGATCAGTATACAGGGAAAACAAAAAGTTTATTTTTTTCAATGGATCACCCTATATATGAATTTATTTTTCGATTCCTTGTAAAATTCTAAGCATATTTCATATATCATACCATATACCTAAATTCAACCGTTTCTGAAATATTTAAATTATTTTTAAGATAATAAGTTGAAATAGTTTGTTTTTCTCTGTCTGAGTACGCCATTTTTACTTATTTAACAACACTTATTGACATAATGTCACTATAGTAATTTATTTTCAATAAAAATTTTGGTATACTGCTTCTTGATTTCTAACAGTTTAAAAAAAACATTTAATGATGACATTTCGAATGCGAATATTTCAGAAACGGTTGAATTTAGGTATATGGTTTGTTATATAAATTATGCTCAGAATTTTACAAGGAATCGAAAAATAAATTCATATATACGGTGATCCATTGAAAAAAATAAACTTTTTGTTTTTCCCTGTATACTGATCAATTTTCCAATTGTCGTTATACGTAGAAAAAAAGTATTTTTTAGTACCTACATAACCACACTTTTAAATTTTTTGGGACACTTAAAATAAAAAAGTTAAAGGGGGGCGACATTATAGGGGATCACCCTGTACAAAGCAACCAGGTAATAGGGACCAGAAAAAGGTAGGCAACCTAGCTGTTACATATTCTGTATGTTGTATGCTTTCCATTGGAATTTCGTTCATTTGGCAAGCAAGTCGGTGAAATTTAAAAAATTAATTATTTTTTTTTAATTTTTTATTTATTATAGCTAGCCTTGATCATATTTTTTATGGCAACCCTATTGGTTTATGTTCAGAAACATATTTTATTTGATAAAATATAATTTTCATCTGGTAAGCAGATGGGTGAAGGTCGACCTTACTTGGGATCCTCTACTAAAACATATGAGGGATTAAGTATTTGAATTAAAATTTTAAATTGTTCATTTTCTACCAATGTAAACGGTATGTTACAATGTTAAACGGTAAATATCACTAGTGATCATTTTAATTAGCTGAAAATCTATTTGTTTACTTTTGGTAACGGATATTGGACGATTTGTAAACTGGGTAATTCGATACTGTGCTTTGAAATTACCTGTCGTAGTATCATTCTTATTCTTATTATTCATTGAAATAGGCCATTTGTTTACATTTGCAGTAGAAGTTGAGGGTTCTTGAGTATTAGAATCCTCCTTTTGATTTTGTTTTTCAACTTCTGTATCGCCAGGTAAAGTTAATGGGGAACGTGAGTTCCGTGGAACCTTTTAAAATTAAAAAAAAATATGTTTTATGAGAACATTTTTTTTATTAGAAAACGTACCTTTTTCTTTAAATGTTTAGTTTTGGTATGTCTAATCAGGTTAGTGGTTGAGCCCCCCTTTGATTGACAGTATAACCGAGCACATACCACATTTGGCTTTATCAAACGAAATTTTGGTAAAATAATTCCATGCAAAAAATCTATTTCTTGAGGACATACTTTAATTTTAAAACAAAACTGAATACGACCCTGTGCAACACAATACAAAATAATAAATAAAAAGCATATAAAACTAGCCGTTTGAAATGTAAAAACTAAGTGCGGATCACTCAGCAGCCTTCGGCAAATTTCGGTCTTTTTGAATATCTGGTGATATTTCTAGGGATATTTTATGAAATTTTCTGTCAAATGTCAAAATAGTCAATTCGAATACAAACCTCCTACCTACTCATAAATGAAACTAATGATATTTTGTTTTTTATGTAAGCTGTGATGTTATTGCACCGGAAAAGCCATAGGTTAATTTATACGTAAGCAAAATAAAATTTGAATTTAATAATTTAATAATACAACCGTTGATTCACTTAACGATACAACCAATACAAGTCATCATTACAAACGATTTAAGAACCAAGTCAATCATTCGGTCGAACCTGAATTGTTCGTTAACTATCTGTTCCCGAACCAGAAAGTGAATCAGTCGCGAACGAATCTTTATGAACGAATCATTTTAAAAGAATTGATTCACAAAAAGAATCGAACTTCCCACCTCTATTGCAAACCAGTGCAATAATTGAGGAGCGTTTATTCAAAAAGGGACATGTCCATTTTAGCGATTTGCAGAAACAAGTCAAAAATAACAGAATTCTTTTGCTTTTGAATTATTTCTGAAAATCGCTAAAATGGACATGTCCATTTTTGAATAAACGCTCCTCAATTATGCGTTTTTTGCCAACTTTTTTGTTTTAAATACGCATACCAATATCCTGTTTTAAAGAAGATACAAAAATAAAATAATTAATATCTTTAGTATTAAATTGTTAGTTGTTCATGCAATTTAAATTAATATTTAAATGTAAAATGGTTTGACATTGCCCATTAGAAGGAAAAACGGAGGCTATTTTTATGTATGGTGAAATGGGGCGAAATTGGCACGAAACAGAAAGGGTGTTTAATGAAAGGTACCCAGAAAACCCAATTTGCAGAAAATATCTACGGGATTTGGTGGCAAAATTTCAAACAAGTGGAAGTGTGGGTAGGCAGAATGGATCGGGAACGAAATCAATTAAGAGAAACAGGTGCAAATAGTTGGTTCGGTTGTCAATATTCCACAACAATCGACGGCCGCAGTTGCAGAGACTTGTGTTGTATCTCAAACAACTGTTAGGAAATATTTAAAGAAAAACAAATTTTATCCCTAGAAGCTTCAAATACTCCACCAACTAACTGAAGATGACCCTGATCACCGAATGCAATTTTGTGAACTTATGTGTGAGCGCATAGCACAAAATCCACTCTACATAAGTTCAATTTGCTTTAGTGATGAATCCACTTTTTTTCTAAATGGTTAATACTGTTAATAGACAAAATGTACGCTACTGGTCAGATGTTAATCCACATTTTTTTCGAGAAGGTCACACCCAGTATCCGCAAAAAGTTAATGTATGGGCGGGAATACTGGGAATCCACATCGTAGGCCCCATCTTTTTGGAACAAAATTTGACAGGTATTCTGTATATTAACATGCTTTAAACCCAAATTCAACCAATGATTGAGGAAATAATCAATATCTATCCTGATGAATTTGACAGAGAAGTCATATTTCAGCAGAATGGAGCGCCCCCACATTATTTTAGGGATGTTAGACAACAGCTTGATAACAGTTACCCAAATCGGTGGATTGGTAGGCGTGGTCCTACCGAATGGCCGGCTCGTTCTCCCGATTTAACGCCACTTGACTTTTTTTGTGGGGATATTTAAAATTGAAGGTCTACATTACAGAACCGGAAACCATAGATGATCTTAAACACCGGATTGGACGTGAATGTGCTAGTATTACGCAAGAAACTTTTGCTAATGTTAGAAATGAATTTGAAGATAGGCTATTTGTGAGTCAAGCTGTCCAAGGGGAACATTTCGAACATCTAATTTAAATTTTTCTTCATAAATTAAAACCAAAACGAAACGTGTTTTTAAAATTTTTAAACCCTCATAACTAAGCTATGGTTAAACGGATTTTAAAAACAAAAAATTGTTATATAGAGAATTAAAATACCTTTCAAATGAGGTATCACAAACACCCCTTTCCATTTGAAATTTTCAAGTTGATACTGCCCTCTTGGCACTTGTTACGCAAAAAAATTTAATTTTGACGTCAAAAAGTAGTAAACACAATATAGTTTACCCTGGTTTTTATCCGACATCGATATCTTATTTGGTTCAAAAGTTAACAGGGGGGGATTTTAACGCGCTCACTGTATGTATAAACCTATAACAGCTAGTTTGTTATTTTTTAATAAGGTTTTAAAAATTAAAAATTAAACTTTCGCAAAGTTGTTCTTAATTTTAGCCCTAAAAAATCATAAATGGCATATAATAGCCTTAGTTTAAAATAACAGTTTTGTACAAGCATGCTAACGGGATCTAAAAATTTCCTAACATGCTTGATCCAAGGTATAGTTGGAGTTCATTCTAATCGCTTAATGAACATGCACGGAAAGACAGTTAAAAAAACCTTCAAATTGCTATATCAAAGAATATTTAGCAGACCGCTTTGGCTTTATTAAATCATATCATATCAACCAACATTGGTATTAATAAAATGTTTTAAATAATAAATTTTATTATTTAAAACATTTTATTAATACCAATGTTGGTTGATATGATATGATTATAAAGATGAATGCCTTGACAATATGGAAAAATACTTCGATTATCGCAAGAATTTATTTAAAATTAAAGTCCTTTTCCAATTTTTTTTTTAATTATTTTTTTTTAGCTTACATTAAACAAGCATCTGACCCACAGGCGGTATCAAAAGCAAAGGGCACTTGGTTAGTTATTGGGGTATCCATAATAGCTCTTCTAGTATTCCTACTATTTGTTGCCTTTTGTACTTTGGCGTTCGCAAAGAAAAAACGAGCACCCTCGACCACAGGTATAGAAAATAGACAACACGTATTCGAGAGAGGTGTGGGCCATGAAAACAAGGCATTCGTAACTGAGACTAAAGAAGAATCCCCTACATACATTGACTTTAGAAAAAACCTAAAAAATAAACTAGATAGCAGATCGGAAAGTTCATTAACTTCCTCCTCCTCAAGTCTGGATATTTCTCCATTAATGGGTCTGAAAAAGCAGTCTCCACCCAAGAAACCTCCACGTCCAAGAGCTGCAGCAATAAACAAAACAGTACCGTTAAATATGAAAAGCATTTCAAAGGAAATTTTCGATTCTGACAGCAGCAGGAACGATTCTCCTGACACGATTTTTATAGGGAACTACGATCCTGGTGTCATGAGTCCTAAGTCGTATTTATCCATGCCATCGGTCAAATCTTTTCCAAGGTATGTACATATTTTTAGTGCGGGACAAATATTTACTCGTTCAAGTATCTAATCTAGAAAAAAATGAACCTACACCTCGCCAAAGTTTTTTGTTTTGAGTGCTTTCCACCAACTTCAAATACCGACAGCAACTTGGTGTCGTGAAACACACTTAAAACAAAGGACTCCCTGAACTTATATGCTGGGTTGGTAAGCCAACAGAGGCGAGATGTAAGAACATCAGGTGATCCACACCGTCTAACGACGTGGCCTTTGCCGCAATCGGTACAAACTATGCAACCGAGCCTGCACACAGCAATTGTATCACAGATACTAATAGGGCCTAAAAGAATCTAGAATTAGCCGAACCGGAAAGAAACTAAGAAAATTGAATGTTTATCTAACCTAGGTATTTGCTATTTTTGTTGTTATGGGGCAAGATGTAAAACTTTAATTAGACAAATTGTCCACTCAATTTTTGTATTTATTGGAAACATTTTTTATTTTGATTTGGCAATATTAAGTAATCTTATTCCAAATTAAGTTTATTATTAAAAATAGAAAATTTACTTAAAAAATATAATAAAAAATAGTGGCAATATTTGGACCATATATAAATAACCAAATTCTTCATTTGCCCAACAAATGAACAATTTACAATAGTAATAGGAATAATAAATATTACAATAAAATCAAACTAAAATTCAAATAAATATTAGTACAATGATGCACCAATTTCTCAATACTACAATTATTAATAAAACACAACCTGTACAGAAGATTTTAGTTCTGAAGCATGCCTAAATTTTATTGTGCTTCTGGAACTTTAAATGAAAAACTGATGTTTACATTCCTAAAGTCGTTTCAATTAAATTAGTACCCTTACCTTCTTCAAGTTATTTAAGCTAAACTCTATAAAAGCTTACTTTCGCTTAAAAATACATTTGGGTACCCGCAAAAAAACTTGTGTCAAAATTATATCAATCTGATGTTTAATTTAATTCTGACGTTTACATTCAAAGTCAATTAAACTGTAGCGTCGTCATGGTAGCGGGAGGGAATGGAACATTTAAGGAGGTCCACTTTTTATTAAAAATGAGTTAGTGATGTCTGTACATTTAACATGTATCCCCCTATACCCTGAAAAGTTCATAATATTCTAAAACTCACCTTATTCCATTTAAAATTCATTTACAAATTGACTGTCGTTCCAAAACCAGTATATACGTGGTTATATTATGCAAAACTCGGTTTACACGTATGTATTTTAAATTATTTTACATTTGAGCTATACCTTTTTAATCAAGGAATATAAATGTTTTACTTATGCCTATATATTTCTTTGGCCTGATATGAGTTACTCACGTGTAAGGTTTTTTCATTTTGCTCAAAAACAACTAATATGGATAAGCCGAGTTTTGAAATGCACCTCTTCATTTCTTACCTGATTAGCGGGAGGGAATGAAAATATATATAGGGGAAGGAATAAGATTGTTCACAGCGGGAGAAATTAATGTCATTAAATATTAACTATTGCGTATTATCTCAATACAAAAATAATAAATAGTTTCTCAACGCCAATATTTAAAAAGTTTATATGAGCATTGTACTGATCTTTTAATTTCGGCGGCAGTAAACTAGATTTAATTTAATTTCAGGTAGAGACTCTACCATGAAAAATTGTTACGCGAGTTAATTTTTTATAGATGTCGTTCTATATAAATATTAAATTTAAATCATTCTTGGATAATAATAAGTATTTGTCGTAGAAAAAGTTTAGTATGCAACTGGTTTATAAAATTTTCTAGACACCTATTTAATTAAGCACTCGCTTGCAAGATAGCTTGTGCCTTAATTAAAAACGTAAATAATAAACTCAGTATCAGCTGTAAATATACGGAAAAACCCCTGTACAAGACTTAATGTAAAATAAATCAAAGAGTAGGTGGTGTGGCCTCCATTGGCATTGATTACGGCTTGGCAACGTGAGGCATGCTTCGAATGTGATTGCATAGAAATTGAGGTAGATTACGCCATTTTTCAGAGCCCCTGACAGTTGCTAAAGACTTTAGTAATGAGTTAAAGTCGCAACAGGGCGCTTTCTAACACGTCTGTTCAATATTTTCGATGTGTGCTCGATCGGGGCTTGTAGCCGGCCATTTCATGACCGAAATTTCGTGCTCCCGGAGGAAGTTTCTTTTAAGTTGGGCCGTGTAATTTTGCAATTGTCTTGTAGCAGAAATTCATTACCAAACTTATTGACAAATGGTAAAATAAACTCTGCCTCATATTTCTTACACTTAACATACCAAAAATTGTTTGAGTTTTAAAATCATTTAAATCAACATGTTGCTCAAAATTTACAAAAAGTAACCCAACTTCTGTTCCTGATAATTAAGAAGAAATATACAGGGTGTCCTAGAACTCGCGCCACAAAGAAAATGGGAACGTGCCGAAAGTAATGCGAAACACATATTTGAAAATTAAAATTGTCTAACGCAAAGGATAAGCGAGGTAAAAATAAAAACTATAGCCAATTGCAATAAATGGCCATAAAAAAATCTTTAAATTGCTAGGATAATTAGGATGAATTGTTTATATTAAAAATAAGTAAAATATTTGGTCGACTGGAATCCACTTCGTTGTGATAGTGCTGTCAATTTTGGTTCCTGTCATTGTATTTTAAGTTATGTTTTCCTTCGCCGATTATACCGAAATGATGATTATTTATTGGGAGTATGGGCTCAATGCTGGGTAGGCAGAACGAGTTTTTCCCCAGCGCTTTTCCGATCGTTTCCTGGACTGTAAAGTGATCCTTAGAACTATAGCAAGAACCCAAGAGACCGCTCAAGTTGTTCCGCGTATTAACGAAATTGGAAAAGCTATTTTGAATGCCTTTGATGCAAATAGTAGAAAGAGCAGTTCAGTAGGCTATAAATGATTGCAGCCGGAAGATTATCCCGCTAGAGTGTAATTCTGCCGGTGGTTGCTAGAGCAAGAAGATCTCCTGCCAAATTTTGTCTTTGGAGTACAGAACTAGTTGTTTGTTCTGTGCTACGTGACCATTAAACAAACAATAGTGAATCTGACTCGTCGGTTTCTTAATCACATTATTTGGGTCGCCTCGAAAATTTAACGCACGGATTGTCGGTAATAATGCCACCCGAACGGGTGTATAATAAAGAAAAACTAGTAAAATCGTTTGTTATTTTTTTAAGATTTTAAACACAACATTTAGTTTGGTAAGCAAACGCCTCCACCGCGGCTGATGTTTAATTTTGTTTCCGAATATCTTCGTACGAGTCATAAAAAAGTTCGTAGCTCTTTATGTCTTAAGTAGTACCTACTATAAAGAAATTACTATAATTGCAAGACTGTATTTTACTTATATAAATTTTAGACTTTGCATTTTTTAAATAAAATTGAATATACTATTAAATATACTTAATCTGTTAGGCTTATTTAGTTCAAATTAATTATAATTATTAAATAATTATTTAGGTGTTTCTTAAAAGTATTGTGTCACGCCTTTTAATTTAGTCCTATTCAGTCTTTGGGTTATTAAAATATTAAATTTGTTTTTGTGTATCTGAGGGATAATTTAAAATTGTCATTTTCTTTATTATTGTTTTGTATTATTTTAAAATGCTTAAAACAAAATTTTCATTTTCTAGTTTTATTTAAATTGGTTTAGGAGAGTTTATAAAATGGTTAAATTTCCTAATAGTTTTATATTAGAGAAAGGACGCCAAACGGACCAACAATTGTATAAAAGGCCTCAGAAGAAAAGAGGCCAGTCTGTCGCATGACTTGCGATTGTAAGAGCATATTAAATGTTTTTAATCCATTACTTTTATATTTATCTAACCAAAAGAAATAAGATACACTAATTTTATCAGTTGTCATATGTAAACTTAAATAAGACTGGCAAAATTTTACATGTAACCTCATTAAGCAAATTATAATAAACACAGTATAAATACTAGACTGGGCCAAAAAAATTGACTATTTTTTTTTTTGAAAACTATATCGAGAATGTCATTCAGAATGACAAATAAAAAATTTCGTGAAAATTTGAGCCCTTAATATTAATTTTAAGAGGTCTATCATCGCTATTTTTGATTTTTAGTCATAATTTTATGTTTTACGTTAGAACTCTTAAAACATTAAAGTGAAAAAAATTCTTTTTCACTTATTTTTATATAAAATTAAATTCTCTACAAAAAAGGTCTGATTGAAAATTTTCGTCAGACGAGCCGTTTCCGAGTAATTGAGCTTAATAAATCGATGTGTTTTTTCGATTTGCCCTTTTTACTTTGAAATTTTGTAACTAATGAATAAATGAATATTTTAAAAAGCTCACGTCGGATTCTTAAAGGAAATTTAATGTTGTACAAAAAAGGTCTCTAAACATTTTTGCCTAAATTTAATTCTTCAAAAGTTATTCACGATTAAAATCGAAGAAAAACTTAAAATTTGAATTTTTTCTTCGTGAATAACTTTTGAAGAATTAAATTTAGGCAAAAATGTTAGGAGACCTTTTTTGTAGAACATTAAATTTCCTTTAAGAATCCGACGTGAGCTTTTTAAAATATTCATTAATTCATTAGTTACAAAATTTCAAAGTAAAAAGGGCAAATCGAAAAAACACATCGATTTATTAGGCTCAATTACTCGGAAACGGCTCGTCTGACGAAAATTTTCAATCAGACCTTTTTTGTAGAGAATTTAATTTTATATAAAAATAAGTGACAAGGAATTTTTTTCAGTTTAATGTTTTGACAGTTCTAACGTAAAACATCAAATTATGACTAAAAATCAAAAATAGCGATGATAGACCTCTTAAAATTAATATTAAGGGCTCAAATTTTCACGAAATATTTTTTTTGTCATTCTGAATGACATTCTCGATATATTTTTCAAAAAAAAAATTAGTCAATTTTTTTGGCCCAGTCTAATAAATACACCTTAAATTAGTTAAAATTAAACCTAAATTTTAATTAAATGGTTATGCTTGTAAAATCGAATATTTACATTTTCCTTTTATTTTTACTTTTTATTATAATAAATTGTTAATTATTCAAATTTTTCTGTAGAAATGGAAATATGCCGGAACCTTTAAACAAAGTATTGGAACCCGTAAGTGTGCTTCATCTCGACATGCCGGAAGATGAACACGATTCAAAGTACAAGCCTTCTTCATTGGTTAGACATGGTAGCTTAGGCACTTCAGAAGATCCAGGTATAATAGGTCCTGTAGTATGGAACCTTCACTGTGAAAGAATGCAACATGGTACTACATTTATATTAATTATATATTTTCTTTATTAACTTAATTTATTTGTGCAGGAGTCAGCGTTGATGAAGGTATACATGATTTAAAAGAAACAGGAAATGTTACAAAAATGCGTAAACGATTCCACGAACTTCTCGATGACACTTTTAGTCTTTTTGGAAGCAGGCGAGAAAGTCCAGTGGAGTTATCAAGACCACCAATTGAGGTCAAAAGTCACTCTGCAGTGAATACAAGGTAATAAATTAATATTAATATAAAATTTTACCAAATAAATGTTTTTTATTATATGATCGTAATAAATAAAATATAGGAGGAAAATATTTAATGAAATTAAATAGTTATAAATAACTTCTGCAAACCTTATTTTTAACAGATCATTTTATTTTACTATATTAACATGATATACATATTTATTTGAAATTTCAGACAAGATGAGGAAGTGGCTCCCATACCCAAACCACGTCCGAAAACAACAGACCCCAGAAAAGTAATTAAAACGCCAAGTCCTAAAGGAGCTTGGTCTAGCAAGGCACCTTCTCCACTGGTTAGACCCCTAAGTTCTGGTATTATTAACCATCCTAAAATAAACGTCGATCATATTCTGGCCGAAGGAAAATTTCATCATAATGATCCGGCTGTTCCTTTAATCGAAGCCATTAAAACCGAGATTGACAAATGTTCGTTACCAGGAAGTACAGCCGATTTAAGAGAATAATAATGCCATTAAATAATATTTTATGTTAAGTTAATTTTTACTCGATTTAAATATATTATAGAACGTTATATATAGGATTGTTGTTTTTGTATTATTAAAAAAATAATAATTAACTTTAAATCGATCTTACTGATAAATATATTTATAAACTTATATATATATATATATATATATATATTAGGGTGTCCCTTATTTTTATTTTTTTTTACGCATACCCTCTAATTATATTTATTACGTGTTTATATACTCCCAGTAAAAATTTCAGCTCATTCTATAAACGGGAACCCGTGCCGACTTGCATCTGAACCCTCCGTTAGCCAACGTTAGGCGCGCGGTATTTTGTAACACGGTTGGTCGCGAGGTCTTCGATCGTAAGTCATTTTGTGTTTGTTATTATGTGACCCTTATATTATAAATTATTGACAAATGTTAAAATATAGTTTTATTTATGTGTATACTTTGATAAAAATGTATATTTTCACAGGGAGTGGCTAGTTACCCGGAAGGGTCTGGTGAATAGGCCGTAAACTCTGAAATTGATAAACTTAATGGGTTTTACTCTAAATAACTAAAAGAGTATATTGTGAGAGATGACTACCGAAAACTTATTGAATTGTCTGAAATATTTTTGGGAGGACATCAAGAAAAGAAATGCTTATAAAAAGCTGAAATTTCATAAAACAGTATATTTTAGCAATACTAATTAGTATTAATATATTTAAGGGATAAAATCAACTAAATTAGTGAAACAAATGATAGAAACAAAAGCAATAATATTAATTAGTAATCATATTTAATAAAATCATTAGAAAAATACAGTCTTCTTTTTAAAGTGTTTCGTGTTACAAAATACCGCGCGCCTAACGTTGGCTAACGGAGGGTTTAGATGCAAGTCGGCACGGGTTCCCGTTTATAGAATGAGCTGAAATTTTTACTGGGAGTATATAAATAGGTAATAAATATAATTAGAGGGTATGCGTAAAAAAAATAAAAATAAGGGACACCCTAATATATATGTATGTGTATATGTACATTAGGGTGGCCCCAATAAAAAGAATATTTTTTATCTTCTCGTCTCTTGTGAAAATATGTTGGTTTTTCATATTATAAGAGCCCTGTCAAAAGATCAGCACCATTAAAAAATTTTTAGGGGTCGCTCAAGATTTTTACAAATTACCAAAATCGTCAAAAATTGGATTTTTTTTTATTTTAATTTTTTTTCTCGTTCCGATATTATTTTTTAATTTAAAAATAATAATGATTCTAAAAATTTCAAATCGATATTTTAATTTCTAAAGGTCGCTCAAGATTTTTTTAACTTTCAAAGTAGAGTATTTTGAATGTTTTCGAGCGACCTCTGAATATAAATATCAACGAACTTTTAGCGACCTTTAGAAATCAAAATATTGATTTGAAATTTACAGAATTTTTATTATTTTCAACCTAAAAAATAATATCGAGACGAGAAAAAGAATTAAAATAAAACAAAAATTCAATTTTTGACGATTTTGAAAATTTTTAAAAATCTTGAGCGACCCCTACAAAATTTTTAATCGAGCTGATATTTTGACAGGGCTCTTAAAACATGACAAACCAACATACTTTCACAAGAGACGAGAAGAAAACAAATATTCTTTTTTTTTGGGCCACCCTAATGTACATACATGTATGTAACTATATCAATACAAATGTATAGTTAAAAATACTTTTACAGGGTGATTTATTAAAAAAAAAATCCGGATGAGATTCCTTAAATGCAAAAAACTTCCGCCGGAAACGCTTTGTTGTGTTCCAATATTTTTAAATTATCTATTGATTTCTGCGTTTGTTAATATGTGGTTGACAACGTGGGTTTTGACTTAAATTAAGAAATGCAATGGAAGACTTCGAAACAATTTTTGCTAGTAATATCAAAAGAAACAATGAACACCTCTAACACGGACTTAAAATTAACCATAGTAAATATCTTCCACAGAAAGTTAACAACCAGAGAAAAACAGCAGCAACAGCAAAGGCCTTAAATTTGCTGTCACATCTAAGAAAATACCATTCTTGGAATTGTAACCCAAACTATATTCCAACCTCATGCAGATAAATATATACATTAAGTAAGATCCATGTTGCAGAAACGAACTAAAACCAACTATAAAGATGTAGGAGAAGCACTAAAAAATCTTCAGAAGGATAAAACAATCAAAATATTACCAGCAGACCAACTTAAATCCGAATAAAGATGAAGAAAAAGCACTAAACATTTTTAGAAGGATAAAACAATCAAAAGATTACCAGCAGTCAAAGATTACTGTGATTATGAAGGCGAGGACTACTGTCCAAAGGGGATTACAGATTAGTTTAAATACTTAACGCCAACAATCTAAGATGGAATTTACAAAACCTTAAAATACTCAATTTACCCCCCATTTAACTCGGTGGACTACCCAAAATACAGAAAGCTGGTATGCCTCTCTGACCTATCACTAGCTTAAGTGGATCCGCGACCAGTAGTTTCTCCTGAAGATCATTCAACCACTAAAGGGTAACACAACTTCCTTTGTCAAAAATTTTACTCAAGTAAGACATTAGGTCTTTTGTGTTGGAAGCTGTTGACAAATTTGTCAGCTTTAATGTCGATAGCCTGTGCACTAAGAGCTACATAACATTTGATCCTAAGGCAAAACTCCCACGACAATACCCGCGATAAAATACCTGCAAACTAAAATACCCGCTATATAATCCCCACAAACCAAAATACCCAACGACAAAATATCTGCAAAATAACCGCGAACAAAACCTAAATTAATTTTTATAACGAAAATTAAAAAAACGAAGCACCCAACCACCCAGCCTATTGAAGACGATTATTATATTGTTAAACTAACCTTAACCCAATAAAATCGCTTAAAATATTAAAAAAAAATTATTGCCTTTTTTATTTTTAAAAGCAAAAACATAAACTTTTAACAACCTTCGGCAGCAAGGTGCATGTGCAAGATTTGTGTTTTATCTGACGTGAAGACGCAGACCTTAAGAACATATAAAACCTTAATATTGGTTTTGTTTAATTTAAAAAGACCATGCCGTCTGAACTAGGGCATTATAATTAATCACAACTGTCTAATTTTAAATCAAAACACGATCAATATATTATTTTTAATAACGCAATACATTTGCTACATATCTTAAATATTGCAACTTATTATTATGATCATATGCAGAAACAACATTTTTTAAACGTGCATCATCGATAAAACTTGTTCTAATCGAGCCATTACAGGAGATTAGCTTCTTTAACAGTATCGGCAAATAATCCTGATTATTATAATTTTCGATAACTTTACGCTTCAAATTTGCTCTAAAAATGTTTGCATCTACACCGAGTATATATCAGCAGCATAATGGTGTTTGTGACCATCACAAATAATATACCTAACATTTTTTATAGACATAATAAGAATATAAAGATATTTCAACAAATAATAATAATTATCACAAAATATAAAAAAATAATAACCGTTTGTTTCTTGAAACGTTGCAACGCGTTGTATGAATTATAACAGAACAAACCAATTTACGAGTATGTTTAGCATTATAGCATTATGTGTAGCATTGACAAATAACCATGATGAACGAGCATTTTTTTATCTTTTTGGAAATTAATACATCTAAGTGACATAATCATTATAATTTCACAATATTTTATTAATTAATGACAATTTGTCGTTCTCATTTTTCAGTTGAAATTATGTTCCCAATTTGACGGGTATTTTGTGGTGGGTGTTTTGTCGTCGGGTATTCTGGGTGGCGGATAGTTTGCAATCAGGTAGTTTGTTTTCGGGTATTTTGCCATCAGGTATTTTGTCATCAGATATATTGTAGAGGATATTTTGTAGCAGGTCAAATGTAACGATACAAAAATCACTCGTATACACTAAGTAAATACGAGACTGTCCATGAACGTACAACACTGCAACTGAATGGAGGGATGGAACTGTGCGAATGTTACCTTCGCAAAGATAATTTCTTTGAATGGAATAGATCGAATCGCTTGCAATCGAAACTGCACCAATCAAACCAAGATTATGACTAAGGTACGTGAATTAGAACCATTTAATAAGATGAACCTATTAAAATATGATGTACATGCAGGAAGACCTAAGTCAATAGCCTATTGGGGAACCAATAAAGTATTTTTTAGTAGTTAAAGGAAACGAAAATACATCAAAACAATAAAAATCCTTTTCCAATCTCCAGGTACGAAACAATACAGGACATGAAACATTTAGAACACATTTCTGACCATCCCTTATAATAATGGCACATCAGAAACAATCAGAATAATTTTCGCCAAATATAACATTAGAACAACTTTCAGATCAGACACCTTAAGAAGTTTTCTAAAACAAAGCCAAAACATAAACCAGATAATTATTACATCTACCGAGTCCCATATAAGCGTGGCAAATCTTACATATGAGGAACTAAAAGACCCCTACAACAAAATTATGTCTGGTCCACCACATAAAGTGATCAGAAGCAAAAGTTTTTTACCACTTCGTGTTTAAGCAAATATGATAACGCTTTTCCAGATAACACAATTTAAAATAAAACTTCCTTGCCTCTTTACCGTTTTTCGCTTCTCGCTAGAAAATAGTACATTCTGTAACAAGTTTGGAATACAGCATATTCTGCTCGAGGAAAAATTTGACACACGAGCCGAAGGCGAGTGTGACGGTTTTACGAGAGTGGAATATGCTATTCCAAACGTGTTTCAGATATTATTTTCTCTACGACTACGTAAGAATAGTAACGCTTATATAATTTTAACCAGAGAAAAGAAACCAAGCAGTTTTTGACATTTAAGTTTTTTGTATTGTCAAACCATTTTGTGCCGTCACATTTTTATAATGTAAATTATAATAAATTTAAACAAATGGTATGCCTAAATCTTTATTATAATTAAAAATAGTTATTTACACTAACTAATAAAAAAACATTGTAACAAATACA